GATGACGAAAACATAATTTTTTAGTAAAGTTAATATCCATTATATGTTAATTTACAATAAATTATAAAATATATAATTTTTAAACTGTTATTGGAAATATATAATTTTTAAACTGTTAAAATTATATATTATTATATATACTTTTAAAATGTTATTGGAATCTTTGCATAACGTTCCAAAATAACACAATATTAAATTAACAATATTAAATCAACAGGTATATATTGCGTACTCTAACCGTTGTTAATATTGAAGTAGTTTCAAGAGATGTTTATATTTTGAAGTAAAATTGTATTAAAATAAATAGGAAATATTTCATAAAATAATACTTCATTTTTTTCTAAGTAACATATAAAAATTGTTGAGTTATGAAGCTGACGTAAAGGTAACACATTAAACGTCACGAAAATAACAACATATCAGTTGTATATTAACTTTACATTGAAATAATAATCAAGGATTGGTAATTAAACATTTGCATGCAAGAATTTTTACAGTGTAAGGTATTTCTATTTGCATATTACGCAGTATATGCAGTCGCTACGACGTGGCGGAACACGCCTCGGCCATGATCGTAACTCGCGATTCGGTACTGTTTGCCACCGCATTGTTGCCATTACGTTATTACCACGGGGCTAGCAATTACGTGCGTAGCAGGTGCATCTTGGCGGATCACGTCGAAAAGGAAAACGCGAACGAGCGCGAGAGCGAAGAGATACGAGCCGACGTAGCTCATCCGCCCAACGAATTATCGTTTCCGGCCCCCTCGGTTGATATTATCGTGATGCAAATTGTATATAAACCAGCCGTAACTCTTCCACGTCATAGCACAAAAGCGCAAAAATCAGATAAAATATACAATGATCGATGCCGCGCTTCTCCCGCGCCTCGGACAATCGACAACAATAAATAACAATAATAAATAAGCCCGATCCCTTTGAAATCGATGAATAATCGAGGCGATTAATAAAGAACCGTTCTCTACGTTCTCGTCTAAGGGGGTGCAAATTGCCCGCGTGTTTCGATAATTACCAAGTCATGCGATGCGCGAACGCGGCTACAACGTTACGACGTTGCAAAAATGAGAGAAAATCCGAAAATCCGAACATTACAAAATCTGAATCAAAATTTTCTTCATACGGAGAAAATATTGTAATCAAAATTATGTTAAAATTTCTTTTCACGATATCTTTTGTAAAATTAAAGGATACTGAGATTGTAGTACACAGCTATTTTTCAGCTTCATTTAATCGCAACAATATTAACAGAATTATCTTTCTCAATGTTTTCTACACCGATTCAAAAAAGAAAAACATTTAATTTCGGTTATTTTTCCGAGAGTTATGAATAAATGAAAATACACTGGATAAAATTTATCCATGTTCAGGGTTCAGGATTCAAGTTTTAAAATGTTAAGGGCTCTAGGGTTAAATAGTACCGAAGGAGATTGATACAGGCTTCAAAGCATTAACCTGAGTAGAAATTTATCCAGTTTCTGACCAGTAATGTCCAGGAATTTTTGGTAACTAGCTAGTTTTTAGCCAGTTTTCTTAGTTAGAAACTGACTGGTTTGGTCGACGCTCACTTCGTCAAAAACTGGACAGTTGAACTGGACAGTTTCAGATCAGTTTTTAACTAGATTTTAATCAATATCTAATCTGTTTATTAGCAGTTTTTTACTAGTTTTTATGTAGTTTTTGACTATTTTATAAGCATTTTTTTATCGGTTTCTGATCAGTATCTATTTTTTTTAGTTTATTAATAGTTATAAATAATTTAACTATATATATATATATATATATATATATATATATCGAAACAATAATTTTATTAAAATTAAATTTTTAAAATTTTTATTTAAAAAAATTTTTATCATCTTTAATAAAATATTTTATTTTATTTTGGCCAAGAACTATCTCAAAAAAATTCGTCAATAATTTCCGAATTTTTGCTGGGCAGAAACTATTCAATATTTACTTATTATCTTTTTGCATAATTTCTGACAAATAACTGGCCCAAAAATACTGAACAGTATTTTCAGAGCTTTTAATGGACAGAAACTGTTCAGTATTTACTTATTATTATTTCAAGTCTATTATGACTAGTATGGCCATGAAAAAATAGCCAGTATTTTCTGCCAAGTTTCAAAACAGTAACTGTCTAATTAATCCTAGCCAGTAAAAACTGTCTAGTTACTGGCCAGTAATCAGTTTTTTTCTGAGATGTTTCTACTTGGGAATGAGGACGTTGGATGGAATATTGAGATCTGAAGGACATTGGGAGAAATTATTCGATAAGAAATTAACAAATGGATATTTTCGATCAAAATATCGATGAATTTTTATATCCGATTAAATTTAATCGAATACTTCCGTTCGTAATGACATTTCATCAGATAAACCGATCAAAAAATTATAAATCGATATTTCTGATCAGATACAAAAATTCATCGGTATTTTAATCTGAAATATCCGTTTGTTAACTTTTTATCGAATAATTTTTCTCAGTGTAGAATCAAAATTTTGACTCGGGAATTTTGACTCCGATCGAAAAAGGAAAAGATTTTTTCGACATCTCCGTGACGTCTCGTCGAGGTACGAGGTCCACGTTGCCTCGCGGAAGGGTCGTCCGAGCACGGAGCCGATGAAGATTAGGATGTGTCGGAGCGTAGTTGCGATCCGAGCCGGGCTCGTTACCGGCATTGTTGTTATTGTCGAGCCGACGTGATGATCGGGTACACGCGGAGGGTACGGGTACTCGCGATGGTACCTGCTGCGACTGCGGCAGGCTGGCGCGGGCAGAGGACCGTAGAGAGTAAGAAAGCCGAGCCGAAGCGCGCGTCTTGGTGCCGAGATCGGTTAGGAGAGCCGAAGAGCAGAGAGAAAGAGAGAATACCGAGCAGTTTCTCTTGGCACGCCGCGCGGACCCTACGTGCTTTTATTACGTGGCCGTGACTCGATGTCTCGAACGGACTCGCGGCCATTACGTTTCTTTTCCACTTGCTTTTTTTCATAATACACCTCTCGGCGGCTTAACGACGTCTCTCCAAATACGTAGAATGCAATTACTAACGAAACGCGCATTTCGGCGCGCTCGAGACACCCGGCGCTCCGATTCAGTCAGTGCGTCTGTCACGTCGTCGTTATTGACGCGCTGAGAAGAGCGCGAAAACGCGTGAAATACTCCTCGCGGCGAAGACTAGACGCCGCGCGAATTAAGAGGGCCGCGTACGCGACTGAACGAGTCGACGCTATTAATTTGCCCGCCTTTCACGGCGTCGCGCATCCTCTTCGCGTTTTATCCTCTATTTTCTGCGGATACTGTTAATCAAGCGCGGTGAGTGTGTATGTGTGTATGTGTATACGTGTGTGCGCGAGCGCGCGCGTGTGTGTATCTGCCTGCCTGTCTCTCTATCGGACGCCATTATCGACTGGATACTCGTAACCTCATTGTTATCACGAGAAGTGGGAGCGAAAGGAAGAAAGAAGAAGAAGAAGAGGAAGAATAAGAAGGAGAGGAAGAGAGCGCGACTCGACTCGGAGGGCGTTCGCGGCCGAAGGCTCGAGAAGAAGAGGAAGAGGGTAGCGTCTCTTCACAGGTGTCGCTTCAGAGCGCTACCACTGGGGGCCACATTTGCTCCTGGTGCCGCGTACGCGAACGGTAAACCGGCGCATCTCGACGCCGGGATTCGACTTCGGCCGACCAGTTTCTGCGCCTCGGATCGGACGCTCTCCGGCCGGAGATCCCTGTTCGATTATACGGTGGTAATCGACGGTATATCGCAGTGCCGTGTAATGAAATTCACATGAGAAAGATGAGCACAAAGACACGAGTGCACGAGGAGTCGGCGCGGAGTTCCCGCTCTTGAGCCACGAGTGATAGACCGGTCGTCCGACTAATTGGAGACACACCGGAAAGTGCACGAGCTCTCAATAACCGTTTGCTTAAAGCGCCGAGTATACCGTAACGCGAAATCGGCAACCTTCGAAGAAGCTCGCGCCGTGATGGTATTTTTGCAAACGGCTTCATCGACCAGACCGCACTCGGATTTCGGGATTTGGAAACAGCCAACAACAACAAGTGTACAACGGACAAATAATTAAGTGCAAGAAGATAAAAGGCGACTTCAACCCGCGATTCTAGTGCGGTATTTGGGAAGACAAGAATACGGGGACTCTTCGTTAACGTGGAGACAGCCGGAGCGTTAATTAAACTCTCGAGACTCGATCGATTCCACGGTGGCGAAACGCGATCTCGATCTATAATCCATCGAAAAGATCGGTGACGCGCCGGAGGCGAGGTGCGCGCAGAGTGGCGTCGGGCGAACTCCGTTTGGCCGGAGTCAACCGGTAGGTCGGGAGGACCAGTTCGACCACACGACCCGTGGCGAGGAACCCGGATCGTGCGTGCACGCGCTCGACGACGGCCGTTATGTAATCGACGGCGGCGTTGAGCGCGCTCATAAACAATATGAGCGGCGGTCGTTTAACGGATACTCATTTTCCGCATTTACCATGATGCGGCGAAGAGCGAACGGGTAGCGATTACCCGTGGGACGGTATTCCCCCGACGACGACGACAAGGACGACGACGACGACGACGACAACGACGACGACAGGAGACACGAATCGGCCGAGGCGAACGGCAGTGTACGTCTCCAACGAGGAGCACCGTTAAATCCGTATAATTGCCGATGAAAAGGGCGCTTCGACACGGTGCTTTTTCGAGGTGGTAGATGAATTGATTAGCGCTCGCGCGGCGAAACGGGGGGAGGACATTATCGTGCGGTAGCGATCGGCGTTTTACTTTTCTCGGTTCGCGCGCGGCGTTTAATCGAAGGAGACGATCGACGGCGTCGCAGGAAGCGGCTTGACCGATCCGTTAGAGGTTAAAGGCTGTTACACACCGTCGCGAGCCACCACGGCGACGCCGCGAGAACGCTTCGTCGTCGTCGCCCTCTTCTTCTTCCTTCTCGTCGCGCCGTCGGTGGTGAACGCGATATACCGGATGCGGCCGAGTGAATCCGGCGAGGACGTGAGAATCGCGAGTCGCGGCGAGACAGTCTCGGCATAGGCTTCCGACACGGTGATCCAGGGGTGCGACAGGTATGGATGACGGTGTGCAGAACGGCCTGCAACCTGACCAGAGGTTGCCAACCTTCGAGAAAGGGGAGAAACGCGCGGGCTCCCTCGGCAGCGGCGCGCTGCGCTTCATACGGACGCGCAGCAGCATTCGACGGGAACTCAAGCGACAGTGCTATCGGTAAGGAACTAGTATTGTTTTAGTTCAATTGCCCGAGTCCTACCTTCGACCCGAATTTTCTAACATTTACGCGGAGAGAATATTGTTGTAAAGATTATACTATAATTTTAATAATCCAGGAATAGCCAGGAATAGACTGGCATTATGATGAAAATTATAATAAGATATAGTGACCATGAATATAATAAAAATTACCATAAATGTAGTAAACATTATTATAGTTATGGTCATTTTTATTATATGTCTTATTATAATTTCCGTGTGCTACTTTATACTCGAACTACTAAAATTGTATTGTACCACAATATTTTTTCCATATATATTTTTTGAAAGATCGGTGTATGCTTAATAAGCGTAATAGGAAATTGAAATCTTGACGCCTCCAAATGGCGGAAAACGCATAAAATTGCCCGAGTTGAAATTTTAGTCCTACTTTCGACCCGAACTTTCTAACATTTACGCGGAGAGAATATTGTTGTAAAGATTACACTATAATTTTAATAGTCCAGGAATAGACTGGCATTATGATGAAAATTATAATAAGACATAGTGATCATGAATATAGTAAAAATTACCATAAATGTAGTAAACATTATTATAGTTATGGTCATTTTTATTATGTCTCATTATAATTTCCGTGTGCTACTTTATACTCGAACTACTAAAATTGTATTGTAATCTTTACCACAATATTTTTTCCATATATATTTTTTGAAAGATCGGTGTATACTTAACAAGCGTAATAGGAAATTGAAATCTTGACGCCTCCAAATGGCGGAAAACGCATAAAATTGCCCGAGTCGAAATTTTAGTCCTACTTTCGACCCGAACTTTTTAACATTTACGCGGAGAGAATATTGTTGTAAAGATTACACTATAATTTTAATAGTCCAGGAATAGACTGGCATTATGATGAAAATTATAATAAGACATAGTGATCATGAATATAGTAAAAATTACCATAAATGTAGTAAACATTATTATAGTTATGGTCATTTTTATTATGTCTCATAATTTCCGTGTGCTACTTTATACTCGAACTACTAAAATTGTATTGTAATCTTTACCACAATATTTTTTCCATATATATTTTTTGAAAGATCGGTGTATACTTAACAAGCGTAATAGGAAATTGAAATCTTGACGCCTCCAAATGGCGGAAAACGCATAAAATTGCCCGAGTCGAAATTTTAGTCCTACTTTCGACCCGAACTTTTTAACATTTACGCGGAGAGAATATTGTTGTAAAGATTACACTATAATTTTAATAGTCCAGGAATAGACTGGCATTATGATGAAAATTATAATAAGACATAGTGATCATGAATATAGTAAAAATTACCATAAATGTAGTAAACATTATTATAGTTATGGTCATTTTTATTATGTCTCATAATTTCCGTGTGCTACTTTATACTCGAACTACTAAAATTGTATTGTAATCTTTACCACAATATTTTTTCCATATATATTTTTTGAAAGATCGGTGTATGCTTGACAAGCGTAATAGGAAATTGAAATCTTGACGCCTCCAAATGGCGGAAAACGCATAAAATGTATAAGGTAAACGTCCTAGTGATTTACCGATAATTTAATTACTAATAATATACTTGTGTTTGTTAAGATGCTTATCAATAGATGAAACAAAATCACAAAGTAACTAAATTTTTTCTTTTCATTTATTATATTGTTTTGTATATTGAAAAGCATTTCAACAAAGAAAAATACAAAACTAATATGTCAGTCATTGGGACATGTATGTTCGACCACTGGGACGTTTATCTTAGTTGCACGCAGAACATACTAAAAATAGTCGCGCTCCAATATGCCATAAATCGCAGAGGAAGATAATTGATATATACAGTAAAAATTAATGTATGACGAGGGAATTAATCTGTTGCATCGTGACAAAGCTAATACGGCTCTCACCCGACGCTCAACGGAATCCAAAGGCTAAAGTTGTTAAATAGTTAGAGAAGTTCATTGAGCATATTTTTGCGCCGCGCTATCGGCTCTCACGCGAGCTCGCGACAGGAAACATTTCGCATCGCCGGTTCTCCGTTGTTTCCAACGGCAATAACTGTCGCGATATCGCCGGTTCCGCGACGCCGAATGAAAGCGTTCTCCGCGCACTTGGTCTGCCCGCTTTTATTCCGATCGCGGCCATACGTGTGCGCGCATACGGCCGCGTATGAGCGCTCGGTCGGGGACCGGCTTCGCGTTTCGGTCCTTTTGGGACTCCGACGACGTTGGCTGCCGGCTGAAAGGACCGCGGGGAACCAAGCGAGGTACCGACTCCTCGGCTCCGCCGTAACAGGAATGCTGAATGACTTGCGACTCGTCACGCTGCCAGCAGCGGGTTCGCCAGGCGCGCGAAGATCCGCGTGTATAATCTCTGCCAGCTCCGTCCGCGACTGTACACATAGCGTATACGAATGCGCTAATATCGCCGATATTTCATTCGAACGGGGGGGGAGGGAGGGGGGCATCGTTGTAATTAATCGGCGGAGGGAGAAATCGTCCAACCAGAAGAGTTCTCTTAACGTAATTGGCGTAACGTTTCCGATAGCGTAATTGATGATCGATAGTATCGTAAGGCACAATAAAAGATAACGCCACAAGAAACGTCTCGCGCTGGTAAACGCCGTCTCAGAGCGTGTCAGCTTGTGTATAATCGACGCGCGTTACCCACCGCAGGGACTTACTCGTGCCTAACTAATGGCCGGATAATTAGAGCGTTCACGATGCCGGAGTGGAGTTTCCGCGTGGCGATAAGGCCGGTCGATCATTGTTCGGCGGGGCTGGATCGGAAATCGCCGAAGAATGATCCCGGCGTCCTCGACGACGCTTCGCTCGTGCGCGAAGAGAATCCCGGCGACCTGTTGCACTCCGGCGTCGTCGCGTAATCCGCCGGCGGAAGGTCGACGGATTCTCCGGATTATACCGGCGAGATACCGTTTGATCGGCAGGCGGAGAATGAGCCGCGGCGAACCAGGAAGCAGAAAGCAATTTGCAGAATTCGCGGTCCTTGCGGTGCGTGAGAAGATTCCGGCGCGATTACTAATAGACGCTCCGGCGGAATCCGAGACGCTCCGGCGGTCTTCTTACGGGCGGACAGGTTCGTGATTCCACACCGTGAGCGCGCGACTTTGCTTACATTCTGGCCGCGCAATTATGGACGGTTTCGCCATGTTAACAAGCACGGTGGCTGAGGCTAGCAGTCTACAACCTTTCGGGAACCTCGAGTGACCGCGACATCGTCACGGCGAACTCGATCCGACAGCTTCTAACCATACGAGCGACTCGCTACGTTGATGCATGACGCGTCTTGCCGATCGCAAAAAGATCTGAATAATGAGTAAAAATTTGAATAATGTGAATAATGAGCTTTTCTAAAATTTATAATAAGTATACTTTAAGATTATTAACGAGAGAAAGTGTTCTTTGTTAAAGATGACCATTATTAAAAAAAAAAAGGAAAGTGAGTAATCCTTTTCTTAGGAGTAGAATGGTATTTTTCTCTGCGTATTATCGACTGACTTTTTTAGCAAAATTTTACTGATTGCAGTGTTATAATTGGATCTAACTGAACTTCTAATTGACTTCTAACTGAATTTAACAACAGTTATAAGTATAATATTTTAATGAAGAATACACTCCGTTTGTACTTTGGAGAGTACACCGATATTCACTATATAAGCATCAGAAAGAACTTATAATATCGCGGGTACCGGATCCAATGCAACCGGATGAAGCTTTCTAACACGACCGTGAATTTAGCACCGAGGTGTATCAAGTTACCCCGTTCGACACCGTCGCGAGGTCACGCGGCAGATGAAATTCTCATATTCCGGACGTAATAAAGTGCGCCTCACCAAGTTACAGGCGACATAAATTCTAGATTAGCTACAGGGGGTAACGCGCGCGGGCGTCGCGGTGCGGTATTAAGAAGCCATTCTTACTCCTCGCGCGCCACGACCCTTATATCCGTTTCCACCTGCTTACTCGGAGTACTTCTCTCGCGGCGAGGTGGATGACTCCGCTCCCTACGGAAAGGGAAGGAGAAGAGAGCGACAACGCCAAGTTAAAAAGGAAGAAAGAAAGAAAGGAGGAGGAAAGAGCGGACTTTGGCCCGCGCGATCGAACGGGAAGAATTATCACGATATACTCTGTCCTTTAAGCTTTAAGAGCCGAGGATCGGCCGAAACGCTCGGCTCGTTCGAGAGGCCCCCGTCGCGCATAATAAGGCGCGGAGGGGCCCACGAAGAGAGAGACAGACAGACAGAGAGAGAGAGAGAGAGAGAGAGAGAGAGAGAGAGCCCGCTTTGGCCCCGGAGGTCCTGCTCGCTGCACGCGCACGCATGCGCATACACACACATGCGCGCGCACGCGCGCACACGCACACGAGCGGGGGAACATGTCGGGAATCCGCATGGTCCAAACACTTCCGTGTTGTACGACTAATGAATCACCTTCGCCGACGGAGCCCTTCCACCCTCTTCGACACTCCCGTCCTCCGGCCCTCCTCTCCGCACGCGAGCCCCTCGATACAGGTTTCCTCCCGGCAATCAGGCTCTCCTCATACTCGAATGTTTATCGGGTGTATTGAAATCCAGCGATAAAGTCTGACCTTATCGGCACCTCTCGACTGGCTTTCGACAATGCCCGGCCCGATCGGACGCGTCGGACGCACCTTCGCGCGATTATTAAGCTTATTTGTTCTTTCGATAAAACCCGCTGACGTTGGACGAGGGTGAAGCTCGGGTATCTTCGCGCGAGATTGCAGATCCTGCGTGCAGATACGCGGCAAGATTTTACACGCGCGCAGTGCGAGCGAGCGGATTCCGCCAACGAGAGACGAGCGTTCCGTTCTTGCGACTTGGGCGACTATGCGCGCGCTCGCACGTCGCGAGGATGCGTCGTGAGTATCGGTAAATTTTGCACGTCTCTCTTCCTCCGTCAGCTGCTGACTATTTTTACTTATTACACGGAAGATCACGCACTGCTTATCGATGTCCCCGCGCTTACGTATCCTTCGCCATACGCGACGGGAATACATTCGCCCTGTGAAAGGCGGCCACGCCGTATTATCGCACTTTTATCAATACCGATGTTCGCACGGTCGATTTCGCAACCGCACGCATAATACGCCCACGGTTAATTAGCGCGCTCGCAGTGCCATTAATTAACGAGGGGATACGTTATCGTAACCGTTACGTTTGCGTTGAGAACAATAATTGTGTAAATTTAGCGCATGAGTACATGACGAACAAACGGCGCGCTTATATATGTGCATATTCCTTAATTGCATGTCAATTTATATATTTTTAGTTTTCTATGTACCGTACGTGTATAATTACCGCGATAACGCTCGCTACAGTCGCGACGAAGCTATAAACGAGAACCAACACTAAAACTCGTCTGTAATATGCGGAGTAAGGTTAACGCGTGAGTTTGAGTAAGAAATAAACATAATTTATTTCGTTTACGAGTTTATACTTCAAAGGCCATTTTACAATTGTGTAAGCATAGTTGTAAGTAATAAGTGACTACGGTAACCAGAATAACCAACTAGAATAAAGCAATCGGTGAATAAAACATTCTGATAGGTTAGCTCTTACGTTTACGCAATTTCAGAATGGCTTTAAACTTCTTTCATTCAAAAAATGATCTTGCAGTCATGGTAAAAATTATCTAGATAGCAGAAATTATTTAAGATGGATAAATGAATAGCAAACACTGCGATATCGCATATGTTCTGTATTTAATCGATATAAATCGACAAAATTTCTATCTGAACTATTTGTAAAAAAAATGCGTCTTTGTGGCACTCATCCAGATTAAAGCCAATCATATTTCATAAAAGTGATTGTGCTGGACAAAAAAGGCTAGCGACGAAAAACAAACGAATTTATAATCCTCACACTCATCCAAAGAATAATATTGAAAAAAAGCCAAAATTTGCTCATAAGAGAAATGTATAAAATTGCTATATCTTCATGTTTTTGCGTCTGCTGAAGTCGAATATAAAACTTAAAATTAAATATTAAATAATAAAACGTTTGCTTGAATTAACCAAATTTCTTGTAAAATATAAACGAACCAGAAAAACTCAGTTTAAGTTATCAGAATTATGTTCAAGTTAATCAGAAATCTTGTTAACTTGAGCAGAATTCTGGTAACTTTAGCCGGAATTTCTGGTTTGTTCATATTTCACCAGAAATTTGGTTGATTCAACCAAACTTTTTTTCCGTATATTAAATATTGATTGTTATACGTGTTTGGTAACTCACAGAAGAGCTGCGATGTACATGCAGATTAGGTTAAACTGAATAAGACATTCCTCTATCATTTTGCGAACAACCACTCAACAAAATTGAGTTATTAATCCAGGGAGATTCGTGAATGATCACGTTCCATATGGTAGATGAATTGTGATAGCGATGTATGCTTGTATATAGATTAAACTGAATAAAAAAGTATTCTATAAACTATTTTTTAAATGACTACGTAGATGTTTACTTATTAATTAAGAAAGATTAGTGCATTATCACACACAACTGTACACCAAACATCTTTAATTAATAACTTAACATGTACGTGGTTATTTGAGAAATCGTAGATGACTTTTTTGTTCAATTTAACTTAATATACAAGTAAATGTCGCTATCATAGCTCATCTACCGTATAGCGCGTGATCATCCACGAATCTTCTTTAATTAATAACTTACAATTTTACGTGATTGTTCGCGAAATGATAGAGAAATATTTTTTTCAATTTGACCTAATCTACCTGTACATTGCAGCTTCTTTGTGAGTTACCAGACACCCTGTATATTCGTGTTGCATCGTGTTTGTAAAGTAACGCATGATACGAGTGGGTATTGTATAACTCACCCGTGTGTCTCGGAAGAAGATATCAGTTACTTAAAATTTATAGAGAAATAACTCGGCTATGCGAGCTCGCGCTCGCCAAGCACAGCTGAAGGCGGTAGGAAGTATCGCTCGAGGTAGGAACATAAAATTTAAATCAATTGAATAGCCACGGTGCCAAACACACAAACGGAACACCGCTGGCAAATCCGGCGGAAGATGGGCCCGAGGACTGTGACATGTAACGGCGATGCGGCTTGTTCGACGTTAAGTTCGGTGCTTGTATCTAAATCTCGAATTCCGCGTACGGTTCACCGGAGTCGACCTCACCGCCGCGATCTCGAACCATTACTCATAAACATTACGTTCAGGTTCAGGCACCGATATTATCCGATGAAGGTTGATAAGACGTTTAGACGGTTTCTCGCGAGCTGTTCGTACTCAGCTCGCTGGTGTACGCGGGCCCGCGTGTTCGCACTAACACATATTGTGTCAATGATGCAGCCGCTCGATAAGTAAGGATGTGCTTATGAAACTTGGCACCTCGTTATCCATCCTCGTGATCTCGTGACAAACGAAAAATTCATAAACGGTGTGATATTGTCTATCGTGAAAGCTTATGTAATCAAGTTATAAATCCTCACGGAGTGGGCTACGCGAGCGCGCCACAACGAGAGCCATTTTCGTGATTACGTCGGATTATCGTGCCACATTATAATAACAATGCCGCGTGAGAGAAATATCATCACTGTGAGTGATTTTACGCGTCATCCAACATACATATTTTAAGGAATTTGGTCTGTGGGCAGGGAAGTCGCTTTAACCCATTAAGGTCCAAGAGAAAACTGCTAAGAATAGGCTTTTAAAAACCATCTAAATTAGGGCAAAACGACGAAATTTGTTAAAAGGTGAAACAAAATTTGTGTTGGATTTAAAAATTCAAGATGGTGGACCAATATGTCGGCCCGAAAATTTGAAATTTTGACCTATTTGAGTGAAAATCCGTATAGGGGAGTTTGGTGTTCGCTGAGTATGAATATGCACTTATTTTTTCAAAATTCGTAATGGCGGATCTAATATGGCCGCCCAAAAATGCGAAAATTTGACATAGTTTTGTTATTTGGCGAAAAATCCAACCAAATTATAAGCTATCTTTCGAAGGTGTTTGTTTTGGGGCAAAACATCATACTTTAGCAGACTGTAGAAGAAAAATAGTCTTTTGACTTTAAAAATCAATATAGCGGCCAAAAATTTTTAATTTTGATTTATTTCAATGAAAGTACGTTTCAAAACGTTACGTTTGAAAAATTTTGAAAAAATAAATGCATATTCATACTCAGCGAACCCAAAACCCCCCCTACAGATTTTCACTCAAATAGGTCAAAATTTCAAATTTTCGGGCCAACATATTGGTCCGCCATCTTGAATTTTGAAATCTAACACAAATTTCTTTTTCACTTTTTAACAAATTTCGACGTTTTGCCCTAATTTAGAATTTTTGAAAGCCTATCCTTAACGATTTTCTCTTGGGTCTTAATGGGTTAAGTAGATAGAGACTAGTGACTTGAGTGCAAATCTACTTGTAAGCGCAAAATACGAAGGAAAGTAATTAAAAAGTAAGATTAAAAAAGACAGTATAGGTCATGATCCTCGTGTCTATTGTGCCAATTACTTCTATTGTATTTATGTTTCTGTTCTGTTTCTAAATTCGTACAATCTATTCTTACAATATAATGTGTTACATTATACAAGATGCCACAGACTCTCCTCCGCAACTTTTATGGGAATGTAAGACGGATTGGAGTAAACATAAAAGTCCCATACCGTTTTGCGATATTTGCAATAAATCTCGAGATATGAATTAAAGAAGAATGGTGAATGAGATTACGATAGTAGATGAGTTGTAGTGGCACAGTCTGTCTACTTATAAGTCAAACTGAATTATACTTGTATATTTATATATAGGTCAAACTGAACAAAAAAACCCCCTACCATTTTGCAAATGACCACATAGATTTTTAGATATTAACTAAAGAAGATTTGTGCATTATCGCACACAATCATGTAACAGCTTTTTTCATTAATAACTAGAAATCTATGTGGTTATTTGCAAAATGATAAAGGGCTTTTTTATTCAATTTCACCTAATATGTAAGTACACAACAGCACACATCGCCATTACAGCTCATCTATCATATCGTGCGTGATCATTCACTGTTCATTAATTAATAATTAAAGAATTATTATTGCAAATATTGCAAAACGATATAGGACTTTTATGTTCACCTTACTCTCTTAAAGTGAATCAGTGAATAGTCACTGATATCAATTATAAGTATTGCACTGAGCACTTTCAGTGCAACACTTATAACTGCAAATCAGTGTATATTCACTGCTTTCAGTGATATTTCACTGACTCATTTTAAGAGAATAATCTACGTTCTACGCTCCCACAAAAATTGCGGAGGAGAGTCTGAGCCATCAATTATAAAACCAGTGTGTTGTTAATTAATATTATGTAGCAATTTGTTACCGAATGCGTTTATGTTATCGATACAATGTTTCGTCTGTAGATCTAGAGTAATATTCGCACCCAAGTAAGAAAAATAGGTCGTCTCGCTCGCATTTTCGGATTTTTCTAAAGTTACTGTGAACTTAAAGTGTCCATTGCCAAGGTGCGTAAACAGTTCCGGTTCGAGCGTACTTAACTCCAATACATCTCGCTATATGTATATGTGTGTGCATATATGTGAGAGAAAAAAGAAAAGTGAATTATTCATGTTTTTAACAAAATTATTTTCTGGTAATCGAATCTTCAACTTACAGCCATTATCGGACAATGCTTTTCCTCCATGCCAAATACACTTAGAAACATATCCATGACTAAAGTACGATTTAAATCTTTCAACAAATCACAAAGTTCTTCGGAATGGTTAGTTGGAAATTGTACATTATCGGATTGTATTTTTCCGGACGTTTCCACAATGTCGAACTAGTACAAGAAAGAAGAATGATTTTATATGTTCGAACAAAAGAATATTTTGATGTTTCATAAACCTAATATTAGGACCTTAACTTAGTTTCCGCCCAAAAAATACTGAGAAAAAGCATTTATTGTAAAAAATTTATTTAAATTATTTCAATGAAAGTATTTTCCATCACTTTCTACAACTTTTTGCCATCTTTCTGGCAACTGGGCGATACCATCTCGATAAAACGATGTTTGTTTCGAAGCAATCCATTCGTCCACCCATTCTCGCACTTCTTCAACATTTCGGAAGCGTGTACCAC